GGAGACATCACTTCAAATAAAAACTATGGAAGGAGTATGTTGGTTTACATTCAAAGAAATAATTTGCCAATATGGTTGTATTAGAAAATTCACTATAGATAGAGAAAAATTAGATGCAAATAAAGCACAAGTGTTCTTTGGGAGGATGGACATTAGACTTGTATTAGCAATTGCATGCAATCCGGAAGAAAATAGAAAGAGTGAATATGGATACTTTCTAATTATTAAAGCATTAGTTAAAGCAAGCAAAGGCAAAATAAGTGATTGACCTAAGTTATTATCATTTGCATTATGGACGGATTGCACAACTCATAGTACAGTTACAAGATATATGCCAATAGAATTCATATATGGATAAAAATTGGTGATGCCAATAGAAAAGGTTGTACCAACGTAGAATGTATTATATCAAGAAGATAGTTTAACAAGAGAAGAATTATTAGCATTACAAATTTGACGACTTGAAAGAAGACCTAAAGATATTGAGGTAGATATAAGGGAATTAAAAGAGGCAAGGAAAAAAAACAAAGAGAGGTTTGACAAAAAGCATCAATTGCATCTAAAACTAATTCAAAATAGTGGTTGGATGTTAGTTTATAATAGTAGTTTGGACAACCAACATAGCATAGCAAAACAATTTGCAAAGAGATAGTTTGGGTCTTATGTTATCAAATAAGTATACAAAAATGGTATATATTTGTTATAAGAACTTGATAGTACAAAATTAAATATACCTATAGCAAGTAAGAGAATCAAGTTATTTAAATAAAGAAATAAAAATATTAGTTTTGATGAAGAACAAAATCTATTAGAAGACATTAATATGAGAGAAGAAGAGCAAATTGAAGATTAAGAATTTAATTAAGATAAAGAATATTTTATATCAACATATTGAAGAATCATTGGCGCATGTCAGAGAATGCAAAAGTTTAGAAAGGATAGATGTCATGATGTAATATAACTAATAGGTGAAAAAAGTGAAGAAATTATTATATTATAGAAGATCTTACTTCAAATATTGTAGCAAATTAGCTTAGAAAATAGACAATAGTTCAAAAGAAAAAAAAAAAATAAAGAAGTAATGCTAACTTTTTACAAAGTAGGCTTCTATTTACTTTATAAGGCCATAATAAAGCAAAACAAGGTAGATTAGAAAAATAAAAGATATGAGCATATGTAAGAAGAAGTTAGGAGTTGATTTTAGCAAAAATTAACTCAATCTGATATTCAAAGAAGACTAGTTATCAACCTGGGTCGAAATCAAACCTTGAGACACAAAATCAGACACTTACAACAATTCTAGGATTTTTTTATAGATCAAAGAGTAGAATTACAGAGCAGACTTGATGAAATTTTTTTAGGCTTTCATTTTGAGTGATTTAAGTGTATGATTTTTGAAGTGTATGCTATAAGTTTGAGCTTGATTGAACAATTAAATTGAAGGTTATTAAATTTTGAGTAGGTTGATGTCTCAAAATTGGACTTTGAGGGGCAGTCATGATTTTTAAGTTCTTCAATAATCTACTAATTAGATTAGAGTAAAATTTATATGTAAGGATAATAGACTCGATTTGCTATACATATGTGAAATTTGAGAAAAATTGAACAATTTAAAAAGGAAATATTGGCACTAAAAGTTCAACATTCACATTGGAGTAGAAGGTTGGCCAATATCTAAGCGGGTTTTAGGATTTTTTTTCTATTTGGTAAGTACAATTATCTTCAAATTTGTTGTATTATTTTTTAACTAAGAAGTTGAGAGATGTATAAATTTTAAGCAAGATCAAAAGTTTAATTGATACATATTAAAGTTCTAAATTATGCTAGAATTAGATTGAGTTGTTTAAATTTTGATTAGGATTTGGTTTAAGATTAGGATTGGATTAGGATTTAGAATTCGGTTAAGGTTTTATTAGGATTAAGATTAGAGTAGAATTTAGGATTTGATTTACGATTTATTTAGGATTTAGGATTTGATTTAGGATTTACTTAAGATTTAGAATTTAGGATTTGCTTAGAATTTAAGATTTAAGATTTGTTTAGGATTTAGGATTTGGCCTAAGGTTTGATTGAAGTCTATTAAGGCTTCATTTAGGATTAAAGTAAGACTTCTTTGAGATTTATTTAAGATATATTTTTGATTATTCTAATATTTCTTTAGGATTTTTTTTTGAATTCTTTTAAGTTTTTTTTATTATTTTTTTTGTAATCTCTTAAAGGTTTCTTATGAATTTGATTAAAGCTTGCTTGCCATTGTTAATGTTTAATTAGAATTTATTTAGTATTCTATTAGAGTTAAGATTTTTTTGTTACAATTTCTATTCTACCTTCCACAGCTAGGTGCCTAATGTATTGTCAAGTAAGACTTCACGTAATATGACAACGTAGCTCTTAGTTAGATAGTATATATGGAGGTAAGAATTAAGTCTTCTTTACTCATGTCAATGCCTTTCTATTCCTTAGTCTTGTTTCAAGACTTTTTAGTCTTCTTATTTTTGACAATAGCCATTTTTATTTCAATTCTATATTAAATTTGAGTGAATATCTATTCTTTTTAAGTGACACAAGAATATATTGAGTTTTTTTTTTTTTTTTTTTTTTTTTGAAATTCATGCCATTGTCAATTTTATACTTTGTGATGTATTGGTTTTCTAAGGATATAAAAAAATAAGAGGAATAGAAAATAAGACTTGTATAAAGTAATATAATTAAGTAATTTAGATGAAGAATAAGACGTCATAGGTACAATTGATATTATTCATTACCTAAATAAAGAGAGTCATGTAGAAGTGAATAAAAGTATGTTAATTTGATAATATCTTGTAAAAAAGCTTTATAAATATAGATTTGACTTTTTACATCTTTATAGATAATTAGTGGGTTGAAAACTTAGGCAATAAGTTGACCATGTGTCAAACATGTTGGCTACTTGTACAAAATGACTACATGGGGTATGTATTTGAAACTTATTTTCGATGGTAGACATGTAATCTTCAACTTGGATATGTATCAGAGGTCTTATAGAATATTGCCACATAGCTTGTAATTAGATAGTATATATAAAGGCAAGAATGAAGTTGTCTTTATACTTATTAATTCTTTTTTTGCTTTTAGTCTAATTTCAAATTTCTTCTTATCTTTGGCAATAGTGATTTTAATTTTTTTTCTTGAATATACATATTTTTTATTTCCTTTTTTCAATCTTTCTTTGAGATACATGTACCTTGTTTATTTTTATTCTTCAAGTTCTTATTCTTAACATAGTGAGTTTAAATATAAGAAGTTAGTTATAAATGTAGAAACATGCAACAAAGAGACTATTTTATATTAGAGAGAAGTTGAAGAGACATTGAGTCGAATTATTAAGAAGGATTAGAATGAGAAGTTTGACAAAAAGAGAAGTTTTTGATAATACCAAATAATAAATTATTTTGAATATTTTCTAAAATTTATTTTATTACATAAATTACCTCAAATTATAATAAAATAATTTTAACTTTATTTAACTATTAGATTAATATTACAATTATATAATTACTTTTAAGATTAAATTATTAAAACTTAACTATCTTTGATTCAAATTTAAAATAGTAAAAATTATATTTATTATTTTTTTATATCTTATTTTTGTACATAAAAATTAATTTTGATTTTAAAAATATTAAGCATATATATTATTTAATATTTATAGATAATTTTTTTTTATTAGAAAACATAAGACAAATATCATACTACATTATACATAAAATTAAATTTAAGTCTACAAACAAGAAAACACTTGGATTATTTTATTACTTATATTGATCATACTTAGATAATTTTGGACTTACCTCCTTATTTATGCTATGACAACTTAATTCCATAAAAGCATCAAAAAAAAGGTTTTAAAATTATGGAATACATATCAAGAACGTGAACCATAACAAAATTCTAAAAGTAATAATATACTCTTATATCACCAAAATAGAAAAACTAGATAATTTAAAAATAGATAAAAACTAAAATTATGATGACTATTGCCAAATGCAAAAGGACTATGAAGTTTTGAACCAAGATAGAACACAAGAAAGTCATTGACAAGAGTAAAGAAGGCTTCACCTTTACTTTTATATATACTATTTACTAAAGAACTATGTGATAATGTCTTATAGGCCATATAACATGTATCCAATTTATGAGACATGTGCCTATATAAAGAATATTTTATAAAAAGTTTAAAAAGATTATAAAGGATATTGGATGATTTTTGATAATTACAAAAACTTCCAAATGATTGTAGAAAGTTCTAAAGATTTATGAATATTTGCAAAAAATGGTAAAATTTAAGAAATATTCAAAAAAATATTAGAAAGTTCTAAAACCAAGTTGAGGCCAAATTTATTACATGTTCAAGATTCAAATATAGATATAAATATATAATATTTTAATAATTTTAGTTATATAATTTTTAAAATTATTTTAAAGCAACAATTATATGTTATACTATTATAAGAATTTATTATAATTCTAAATTATAAATTTCTAAATTTAAAATATTTTTAAATATAAATTTATTATATTATTAAATTTTATATTTTTATTAATATTTAGATATTTTATATAATATATGTAAAAAAAATTCAAAATCAATATTATAAAAATATTCATCTATATGTTTTGATGAATCCGAAAAAAATTTATAGAATTGCAACAAAAGATTAAAAGAAATCTAATTTTTTTCACCTCCATATAAGTATTTATATGTTATAGAGTTTGATATTTTAAACTTTAAAAAAATGAAATTAATTTTTAATTTTATAGATTTAATTAAAATATTATAATTTTGAAATAAAATTCAATAGAAATTTCACATCAAGATTGGAAATTATATTAGTAATTAAATGTGTAGAAATAAGTGGTATAAAAAATGTTAATCTAATAGTTAAAAGTTTAAAGAGACAAAAGTATGTTTCCAAATGAACAAGGTCTATTAAAAATAAAACCATGTATGAGACAAAATGTAAAGTCATGCATTTTGGTGTTGTATATTGGCTTTATTTCATTTGAAGTTAATTGATTTGTCTTATTCAAAATACTATATGTCAACCTTAACTAATACATGAGGTATTATCAAAAAAAATTGACAAGGTATCACACACCACATGCATATCTCTCTCTCTCCATGTATATAAATTTAGCCTTGTTTCCTTTCGTGAAAAAAGAATGCATATCACGGCAAGGCCAACAAAATGGAAACATGGCTCAAAGATAAGAAAGAAAGAGACAGATCCACGGTGGACGATAGACACGAGGGCGGGAAGGAAGGAAGGAAGGTGGCGGGAGTCTAAGGGCGGGAGTGGCGAGCGAGGGTGCGCACCACAACGTAGAAGAGGCAACGGAAGAAGACGCCGAAGGCGACGGTGACGCCCAAAAACAGCCACTTGCTCAGCGCCCGAATGTCCTTCGCCGCCAGAATGTCGCGCCCGGCAAGGATACAAGACCCCGGATTCAAGTCCGCGTAAGCCGACTGCTGCAACGCCGGCAATGAGCGCATATACACCAGCATATTGTCCACCACACTGCTGTTCAAGCTCGCCAATGGCGTCCCGTGCAACATCTCGCGCCCATACTCATAGCATTCCTTCGAATGCTCGAACTCGTTGATGAGCACCGCCTCGTATGGGTACTTAATCATGGACAAGTAATGCAACCAGCGCCAGTACACGGGGATGCGCAGCCGGGAGATGAAGAACCCGCTGAGCAGCAAGAAGTAGGCCAGGATCGCCACACAGATGGTGTAGCCGAGCATGACGTTGGGCATGACGGACGAGAGCAGCGTGACGAAGGAATTGCCTGCCCAGAAGGAGGCCCACACTATGAGGTAGAAGTAGAAGAAGCCTGAGCCCCCGCCCGCCAGCCCCACCGGCCACCACACCACCACGCAGAACCCGATTGCGAGAATGGCTAGGAAGGGGATGTAAATGATGGCGTGCGCCAGCACGTAGGACGATTTGCGGTACGCGTTCGTCGCTGTTTCTCTCATGAAGATGTAGCGCTCTTGGAGGAACACGGGTAGTGCGTCTGCGCATGTGTAGAATGTTGTTGACATCGCGAACGCGAAGAAGCCGAATCGCTCCTGGAACAGTCAGAAGATAGGGAACTGAGTATGTATTTGCCTCGCGAATTGATACTTGAATGTACGTGAATCAATTCATGCTGCCACTGCTGCTTCCACCACTTGTTGTAAGAGGAGTTCGTTTTGTTGAAGTTTGATGGTTAGAATGACGTTCTTGATTCAGTTGCTGTGTGCGATGACGGACCCGTTTACGAGTTGGATGTGAGTTTATGAAAGTGAGTGGGTCTTCCCTTTGGTGCCCCGCTGCTGTTGAATGTTCAATTTCATATCCGTCTGATTGAGGAGGCATGTGTTTAGAAGAGGTAAAGAAACACAACCTAAAAATTCACATTGACGTACCTGGACGCCCATGGGTGTGTGATCGAGGTGCCAGAAAATGGTGGCGAGGACAAAGCCCGTTATCATCACCGTCACCAGTCGCATCCAGAAAAGCTCCGGCGTCCGCTTGATGTTCTTCCACGATCGCTTCACCAGAACTATGATCTCGTCGAAGAATGGATTCGCAAACGCGCTCGTTTCGTTCGTCTTGTGTAGGAAGTCGAGGCTCTCGATCTTCGACTTCTCCGATGACGACTGTGTAGCCACAAGGTTTTCGTATAACGGGACGCTCGACATCGCCGCACCTGCATCGGGGAACTCCTCCGCCATGGACTTCGGGGGCCTGAACTTCGCTTCCCACGCCTTGCAATACTCCACCAGTTGCATGATCCCTTCCTGAATGGTGCCAAATTTCTTTGGTGAGGGCATTTTGTGGCTGGGTAGTGCAAGAGTGGTTTTTGGATTGCTGAGAGATTTGGAGACCAAAGGAGGGAATGGTAGATGGAGAGAGGGTAATCGGACTTACTGGGGATGCGTGGAGTTCTTGTATGAGATCGAGTGCATGTTCGGTGCTGTTCTCATATTTCGGAACAGGGCTGCCGAATTCCTCGAAGAAGAGGTGGAGTTGCGCGGGGGTGCCGCCGTATACTTTTTGGCCGAAGGCAAGGATGATCATGCGGTCGAAGAGACCTAGAATGCGGTAGCTCGGTTGGTGTATAGATAGCACCACCAAACTTCCTGTCTGTGCAATTTTTCGGAGAGTGCGCACCTGGGAATAGATCAGAGTTAGGAACGAATTAATGTGACCATTTGACGAACGAAGAAGCGTAAGTGGGAGAGGAAGAGGAGTATCTTGAGGCCGAAGGTAAGTGATCGATCGACTCACCACCAGGTAAGCGCTCGTAGAATCCAACCCCGACGTAGGCTCATCCAAGAAGAGGATGAGTGGATCGTGGACTATGTCAATGCCAATCGAAACACGGCGCCTCTCACCGCCTGAAACACCCCGACGACCCTCGTCTCCGATGATAGTGTTTGCAACTCTCAGCAAACCGAGCTGATTCAACAAATTGCTCACTCTTGCAACTTTGGCCGCCTTTGATATCGATGATGGTAATCTAAAGAATGCGGAGAACATGAGCGTCTCTCTGACTGTGAGCATCGGGTATAGTAGATCATCCTGCGGGATTTCATCATAAACTGAAACGGATTAAACATTCCAAAATCCATGGGTGCAGAGAACTTCTGAGCTAACAGCCGATTACGCTAACCAATGTCTAGGTGGGGGTGGACGTTTCTTGAGCCCTAAACCTGTCAAAGCAGGAGTTCAAACCTGCATGACGTATGCCGAAATGTTGCGGAGGAGACGCTCGCTACACGGTTTGCCGTTTAATGTCATAGTCCCCTTCACAGCATATATTCTGTGCGCAAGCGCGTCAATTAGCGTTGATTTGCCAGAGCCACTAGGTCCCATCACGGCCAGAAGTTCCCCATCTCTGGCGTCGCCTGAGATATCATTCAGTAAGTGCAGTGGCTTGGGCTTGTTACCTTTAAGGCTTGGAAACAGAGCACCCTTACACCGCTGCCATCGGGATTGCCTTTCGCATACCGTGTAGGTGAGACCGGTGAATTGGAGATACAATTTTGGAGAAGGCTTGTCATCTTGGTCTTGTGAGGAGTTTTTCACGTGGATAATCTTGTGCGATTCTTCTGGGGGTTGAGTGATGGGCTCTGGAATTCTGCGAGAAGCTGCATTGAAGCTGGAATCGAAGTATCCACCTTCAGTTGCCATGGAGCTTAGTCTTTTGTTGGTGATAATGTCAGGAGACTGCAATAGTGACCTTGATGATCCTTCGAAATCGGACACGAAGACAGAGTTTGAAATTGGTGTAGTGGGGTGAAGCGGTGAATTTAAAATTGATCCTCCTTTCATCCAAGCTGTCTGGCTTGACAGGGGTTGGGAATGTTCGGCGCCTCCGGGAAGCTCCAGCTCGTTCCTATGTCGTGATACTGATTCTACCGAGGATTTGTAGCTATTTTGTAGCTCTTTGATGCGCGGACCTTTGGCCTTTGCAAGTGGTTCCGCCATAACGTAGGCTCTTCAGTTTGTCAGAATGTCGTATGACTTCGACTCTAGGTTTTATGCACCAAATACTTCGAGAATCCTGGTATTGATATTCCTTGATTCTTGATATGGATTGCCACGAGCCTTTCTCAAGTGATGAAGAGTAGGTCCCCACAACCTACCCTGTTCGCGCTCCTGTGACATCACTCTAATGTGCTCACCAAATCGTAATCAAAGTCATGTCTACAACTTATCAGTCAAACGGTGGCATCTGCAGCTGATCAGTCGGGATGGACGAAGACCTTCACGAACTAGGTCTTGCGTACAAATCAAACGCTTGCGGAAGCACATAGCGTTACAATTGGGGAAGTCTCAATCCTCTTTGCAATTTCTTGTCCTACTGGAACTTGTCGGAACAGAACAGACCAACAAAGCGGTACTGTTGCATAAAAACTTGCAACATCTTCCCATCCTACATGTTTTTGAAACATCCCCACAAGACATTATATTTGAAACCTCGAAGAGCAAAGTGTGAGGGAACAGGGATGTCTGTCTGTACTTGAAACCTCGTCTGTTTGGATGTGCAGGTCACTCATAATGTCAAAAATTTATGCGAAGGCTATAACTGCCTGTAGCATGGAAAAGGCTATAGAGAATGTTTCGCCATCAACGGGCCAGGTGATAGGTCCAGAGCCATGGTCATGGATCTTTGCATATCGCAACCACTGGTGTAGAGGAATGTCGTACTTGGCTCTTCAAGCATCCCCTGCCTTTTCCCGACTTGACAGAATAGTTACGAGAGCAGCGTACTAATGCGTGCAAGTCATGCTAGAGTCTATAACAACTGTACTTCACTCCACTGATGAGGTCATAGCTTAAGGTCTTAGCTTGCATTTATGTTTCATGCATTCTACATGCTGAGATATCAAGTTTGGTTGCAATTATAACGTGGCTGATGGGGTTTCATATAGAAGTAGTTGATCTTGTAACTGCAATGAGCTAGTTGTCCCGAACATGTGTGGCAAAGAGCACAGACACACTGACTAGTGTCTGCAAGGTGTTTGATCATAGTTCCATATCTGGTAACGACTGAACTACTTGATGAATTGTTTTGCAGAATGACTGCTTCGAAAAGCCTTATGACTCGGTATTCATCAGGATCTAGGTGTCCCAAAATGAGCAGGTGGGCACAACCGTGAATCCTAAAACTTAACTATCATCTTGATCAGCCACATTTGTCAATGAAATGCTAGCCACTGCTCACAATATTGCACATCGAACGGAATATTTTCTCGATTCATTAATGCACTGTCCTGCCCCGGCCAACATGTTGGTGGGTCAGAAAGGACATATGCACTTGCACAAGTTTGATACTTTTGTAGGGCTGAGCATTGAGCAGCCACACAATCCTCATATGAAGCGGGTACAAAACAGAGATTAAGACAAAGAAGCATTATTAAATTACTGAAACAATGTTTATCACCCAATTAGACAGATCTGTGCCATTTATATGACATTAATTGGATGATGGCTAGAATTAATCAAAATAATACTGGAGAAGGTTTAAAATGTGTTGGTGTAATTAAGAATTTTTTGTCTAATATCACCCATGACACAAGTGGGAAAATTGAAAGGAAAAAGAACAAACAAACAAGCATAAGTCGTGCATATACAAAAAAAATAAAAATAAAATAATGTATTGCAACAATAATTCTAGTTATTAAAATTTAAAATTTTGATTTATATATATATATATATATATTATAAAGTTTTAGTTGAATGTGTTTGCATGGATATTCAAAAATTATAAAGATATATTTTAGATAATGTTGAGTAGAATGGACTTAGTTGCCTTGCATAAAAATAAACATTAATTTATTTACAAACAATAGATGCATTATCAGTAGATATATTAACAGGCACTTATATTTTTAGTTTTTTTTGCATTCTTTTTGCTCAAAGTTTCTAATACCTTTTTCAAAATTATTTAAAATTTAGAAAGAAAGTTCATATTTACACATACATAAACCCATATATACACACAATTTAGCTGAATTTGTTAGCAAATTTTTTTTGTAACGAAAGAAATTGGACTCTTGCATCCAAAAAATTTGATTCTTGCAAAATTAAAATTAAAAATTAAAAAAAACGCACACGATCTCAATATCATGAAAGAAATTGAACAAACTTTAGTTTTGGAAAAGATATGCAAAAGTACACTGTATTTATTTTGTTAATTCATTCATGCATGTCGTTTCAAACTTCTTCTGGGTAATGTGTTTTGATCTTGAACTATCTACTTCACTGTAACCGCCCATGACCAGATTTGCGGCATTGCAAAGATCCTCTCCAGAGCTAGTAAGTTACCGTTGTGAACCCAAGTCCCTGGGTAAAAAAGAGAAAATAACCACGCATGGGAAACTCCGCCAAGAATTTGAAACAAAAGCCGATGCAAATAGTTTCACATTCTGTTGCTGGACGGGCCCACTTCAGCTGAACTTGCTGGTTGTTGTTGTTGTTGTTGTTGTTTATTTGTTTGTTTGTTTGTTTTGTTTTGCCGACGCTTGTGTCATGGACAGCTCCCAGTTGGGCCCTTCGTCTCTGCACGTAAGTTTCCCTGGCACACTCCCATGTCAACAGATCTTGGTTTCTCACTTGAAAACTTTGTGGAAAGAATCCGTTGCTCACGTTTCATGGCGGAATCTCGGTGTGTGTTGCAGCTGATTGCAGTGCTGGGTGATGTGTTGGCCCGAGTGCAAGCTATTCACGCCAAGGAAGAGTATGGCCTCTCGCAAATCGTGAGCTCCATCAAGTTTGTTAACCGCACTGTTGATGCGTGGTCAGCTTTCCCTTGGAGCCTCGTCTTCCTTTCTCGTTGTGATTCCCATGCTGCATTCAGACTGTGGGGATCGTTGGCTAGTGTATTAAATCTGTGCGAGACTCTTTGGTTGGAACCCTAACTGGGATTGTTGCGGTTCTAGGATTAAGTCCAGTCAAGAGCAGCCTGAACCCTCGGAGTGTAAGCTACTCACCTGCTTGGTCGCTGCATTACCTTGCCATTATTGGAGCTGAACGTGACTTCAATCCAAATGTTGTCACGAATTTTCAATTCTTAGAGTGGATGTGCAATTGGCGCATGAGTTGTTTTGATGTGCAGATCATGTGTACGAGTCGAACCTTTCTGAAATGTCGAAATCTATTGATGCAATTCTGGGAGAAGCTCGATTCGTTAGGAACGAACCTAAGCATGCTGCAACCGCTAAGGTGCTTTCTGCACCATTTGAAGTAAGTGTAAGGGAGAGTTAGTGAAGAAAGTGTCGGCCTTGCTTTGAATCAGCTGTTACTTCCCACGACGACTTTAGATCGAGGATCTTAAAAAGGCATTTAATGTGATGGACAGGGGTCTCTCGTCACCCCCGACAATACCAAGATGCCTCGGAAATCTAAAGCAGCTGAGCACAATAAAACTTTGGAACGGTTCTCCCATGCATTGCACATGAGGCCAACGAAGATGGTCACTGCAAGCGAAGCTGGACAGGAGCCAGGTTTGTTTTACTACAAATCTGGCATGTACATGCTCAGCATGAGTGTGCGTAAATGTGGAGGGATGGATGAATGATTTAATGTTGCTGCATTCCAACATAGAAAGCTCACTTGCTGAAGGATTTAAGAAGTACTTTGAGCAACTTTGCAGCAAGGTTTGATACAGCATGATCAGATACTGATAAAAACTTGAAACTTCGAACTCTGCAGAACAGTCCACATTATCAGCTGCGCACGAATTATTGTTGAAGTGGATGGAGACGGGGAAGGGTGGGTGGACCATGAAGCATACAGAGAAACGTCGTGACGGTGTAGCGTGGAGGCAGAGTTCATGTGCCAGTGATGATGATCCTGAAAAGCTTCGATCGGAGAGGTCGAATGCTGCCAGGAGGAAGTTCTTGGACTCCTTGTGGAGTATTCAGAACACTCCGGCTGGCTCTGAGACGAAGGTAAGCCTGGTGAGGCAATCCTTTTTCAATTTTATACTTGTTCATGGGTCAAGCATGCAGCGTTTTCCCCGTGACTCCGAAACATTCTTAACTTGGTAAGGACATCAGGTCTGAATTGAAGAAGATACAACAAAACCCAAACCCACCTTGACACTTACCTCATGTGTTCATGGGAATTCCTGCAGGCCGAGGATGCCGCTGCTGGGTGTGATTTGGATCAGACCGGCTCTGGAAACGATGACTCAAGCACATCTTCAATACAAATGCAGATTAAGACAACGACGCAAAACATGCAGAAAAACGTGAAGGAGTTGCAAGCATACTGCAAACTATTTCACGAGCAAAACCCGCAATTGGAGCTCCTTTCCCTAGGAAGATTTAGTTACCCTTACACGAAAGATTCTAGCAAAATGATTCTCCAACGTCGCCCACAGCCGGAAAACCAACGGAAGTCCGCGGCGAACGATGACTCCTGGCTTCCCGCAGAATTCTGCTGGAACATTTTAGGTCCACCCGAAGTTCTCATCTCTTCCAATCTACTAAACTCTAATTCATCACTCCATTGCTACCGGATTGCGAGCTTCGTCATGTGTGTGCAGGCAAGCAAGCCGAGGCCATTCTAACAGAATTCAAGTCACGAGAATCGACCACTTCATACTCAAACCTGCAGGTACACACACATCTCTAAGCCACAATGAGCTCAGAACATGACACAAGATACCTGATGAACCCAACTGAAATTGCGAAACTCCATCACATCGCTCAGAATCGTATCATGTAATGGCAGCAAGCTGTATCGACGACGCGATTGATGCACTCGCTCCACACCAACCTCTTCCACTGCCATCTGCAGATCATACTGGGCCGTGATTTCCTCCTCGTGCTCTCACAACCAAGCAGCAGGTGATATAACTCTCGCATGCCTTCTCCAATTCCACACACAATGCATTCATTGCAAAGAAGGCGATCAGGGGCGTGGCTGACACATCCGAGAGGGGGGGGGCATGTTGTTTCAGGTGTGATGCTGTGTGGGGCAGTGCGAGCGGGTACAAGTGCTTGGCGATGGCGCACAGCGTGGTGTGCCGCCATGGCCGCTCTCTAATGTCCATTGCGCGTAGGGTACATGGCCGCTAACCACGCTCCCGCAGCGTCACGGTCTCGCCGCCGCGCGCTTTTCCTTTCTATTCTTTTCTTCTTGTGGTTTTGGTTTGTCTAACTTTTATGGTTTACTGAAATGTTTATGGTGAACTTTTAGCATCTAAATTTGGCAGTGATGTAGTAGATCATTCCATTCGCAAGTTGAAAATCATTCTCGTTTGACCAGTTATTTTCAACACTTCATTCTTAACTTCAAACAAACTATTGAATTCCTTTCCAGTATTAGGCTCATATTTATTATATAAGGAAGGTCATCGGAGACAAATCCAAAAGATAAACAAGAGATAAAAACCTTCTCCCATTGGCCGCATGCATCATTGTTTTCATCAGGAAAACTGAACCAAAACTAAATCAAAACGCAGATTGACTGAGATATTGACTGCTACGTTTCGGGATGTTAACACGCTGTTTCTGGATGTTAACGTGTTGTTTCGAGATGTTGCATACATTCTATGTTCCGTTTGCAATCGTTATAACAAAGGTCTAAATTGCTCATCGCATTGTGCCAAGCTCATTGTGCTCATTTGCATTGTGCTAATCGCATTTTTCTCACACCGTCCTGGAGTATGACTAGCCACCTCCCCGACACTAGCAAGCTGTCCCTAGAAGAGTGGTGTTCGGTTGAAAACATGCTACCGACCATTTGTTTTTGTGAACATACTCAGATGTGGATTTTACTCTCACAAGAAGTTCTCGGTTTACCGGCCGGGAAGAAGCGGCTATTTCCATTACCTGCCTAAGTAGACAAGAAAGTCTCGCAGGTACTTGAGATTTGCCTTCAATGTAAACTTTTTTGTGAACTTGTACCAAATTCCGAATATTTGGCGATGTAGACTTCTTCAAACTTTTTGTGGATATCGTTGCGATTTGATTGAGGCTGGGAGAAGCTCACACTCATAGCAGCGCATAAGATTTGTTCTTTGACGTGTCCGAGCATATTTTTTAAATTTTTAAATTTTTATTTATTTATTTATTTATTACTTTTCAGAAATTTTTAAAAACTAGATCAAACTTTTTGTGGATATTGTTGCCATTTGATTGAGGTAAGGAGAAGCTCACACTCATAGCAGAGCATAAGATGTGTTTGTTTACTTGTTCCAACATATTTCTTGCATACTTAAAGAGTTTCAACATCAAATGGATATTCTTTTGTCAAAAGAAGGTATAGAGGCAAGTTATATGGAACTTTACATTTATTACCCTAATACTGCACATGAAGCAAGGATGGTACATAACAACAATTTGTTCATTCAAACAATATAGGAGCTTCAAGAATGTTTGAGAGAACATCACATATTTTTTCTACTTTGTTGTCAAGTTCATCAAATATTGTCTACATCAAAAAAAAAAGAATGATGATGATATATATGTACAACTTTATTTTAGTAATAATACCAACAAAAGATGTTATAATCTTCTAATTTCCAATGAAAATGTAGTTGTTGTGCTAGACAATGGAACAAAGATAGAAGGAATGCAAGATATAGTTGTTCAATAGAGAGGAGGTACATTGCAACAAATTCATGACCAAATGAAATAGAGAAATATGAATGCCAATGAAGATGGAAGTAAGAATATGCAAAATGCACATATTATTCAAATAGAATTTTATTCATATCAATTGTTTTGTAGTATAATAAGTATTCAATTATCTTATGAGGTAGAAAGTTACTACAATAATTTATTATGGATGCTTAGGTAATAACAAAATAGAATCAATTGAGATACATCGACATAAATTAAAACAAGTCATATGTAAATGTATATTAAGGACTAGTAGATATTTTTATAGATATGCAAAACCAAAAGTTGATATCCAAAATTTAGGATAGAGGATAATTCTTTTGTCCTTTCATATTGAAATTACAAGAAACCTATTTGAGATTTTTCAAGATTCTATGGCTATTATTTTATACTTTCAACATCCAAATATATTTGGTACAATGATTGCCAATCCATGATGGCTAGGGATCTCAAGTACACTTCTTCCATGACAAAGATCCAAGGATTGTTCTAATTTAATAGCAAGAGTATTTGAACTGAAGGGTCATATATTGAATGAAGATATTCATAAACATCATATTTTAAGATATGCACTTACAAGAGTGCATACTATTGAGTTTCAAAAGCAAGGTCTTATACACATGCACTTTTTACTATTTTTTGAACAAAACAGCAAAATAAGAGATTTAGCCAATATTGATAGAATTATTTGTGTAGAATTTTCTATTAAAGAAGAAGATCCATTCTTATTTGAGACAATTAGCACCTACATGGTTCATGGTCTATGTGGACCTCAAAATATACAAGCTCTGTGTATGAAGGATGGAATATGTCAAAAGATATATCAAGAAGTAACATCAATGGATACTAATGGCTATTTCCAATATCATAGAAAAAATAATAGAAGAACTTTCAATGTTTGCAATAATGTTATAGATAATAAAGATGTTGTTCTATACAATCCTACTCTTAGTAGAAAGTATAATTGCCATATCAACATTGAAGTTTGTGCTTCAATTCGTGCTATGAAATATATTGATAAATATATCTATAAGGAATATGATTGTACAACAATGCAAATCGGAAATGAAGATGATGAAGTCAAGCAATACATTGATGCACAATATATTAGAGCTCTAAATGCAACATGGCATTTGTTTGGAATAAAAATGTATGAAGAAGTTCCAAATATGGTTTAATTGGCATTGCATCTTCATAGAATGCATCAAATAATTTTTTATTCAAATAATGATACAAAAGAAGTCTTAGCCTATAAAAAGTGGCAAAAAAAAACTTTTGAGCAGTGAATGGACTACACACTTTATGTTTAAAATTCTACTCAATCTTTGTGAAGATTTGTTTTATAATATTTCAAAGTATGTATCATACATAAATGTGCTAAGAAAGATAGTTCTTATTATTTGAGATAAAATACCAATGCAACACCACTATTGTGCTAAGACAATTGATAGAATTCTCCAAGCCATAAATAACACCAACAAGTTATTTAGAAAAATTACTATAGTCTTTGGTAGAGATTTTTGCAAAATTCTTCATATTGTTGTTAATGACTCAAGAGAAGAGATTGTTGATGCTTCTTTGCAACAATCAAAGATTTGGTCTAGCATTCAAGTGTAGAAGTTGATCAAAAATATGCATCTACAAGGTGTACTTCATGAGATTCAATTATTTGTTGAAGAGTTTTTAAAGATATGTATTATACAAGATTATTTCTTTTGAATTCTTTTTTATAATACAATGTGTTGTATAATATATCTGACAATGGTTTCTATTTAAAAATTAAAAATAAATCAATAATTGTAGATCCATTGAAAGGTATGATAATTATTCCTGAACGTATGAAAGTAGATCCAATATCAAATGATTTGATTCAAGCTATCTATGCACAATTGAATGAAGATGGAACACTTGGAGATGAATATTTTACTAAAAAGTCCATTTTATCTACAAGAAATTGTGATGTTGATGATTTGAGCAAGCATGCAATGGAAAAAATTTATATATTTATTTTAATATAAATATATTAATTATAGAAGATGATACAAATAATTAATATTATTATTTAATCAAGTATTTAAATAGTTTAAGTCCATCTAAATGGCACCCATTTTGCTTGGAGCTAAAGGTTGGATGTCCTAAAATGTTATAGTGAAACATTATTCTACATCAAAGGCTTTGCAATGAATTATGCCTAATCATTATGCAACTCATTGACTAAGTTATAGAAACAAGAATTTTATCTGGAGACTATAAGAAACAATTGGCTTTTCTTCTAAGCATTACATTATGTCTATCATATGAAGAGATTCCATTCAAGTTGTAATGAATGCAGTTTTCAATAAAGATAGGATTTGCAATGACTATTAATAAATTTTAAGGACAATTATTGAAGAATATAAGAATAGATCGTAGAATCCCAGTATTTGCACGTGGATAATTGTATATTGTCCTTTCACAATGTACTTCTCCAAGTATGGTTAAGATCCTATATCCTAAAAATAATAAAGATAAAAATACCACTATAAATGTAATTTATCCAAAAATAATTTTAGTTTAGTTATTTTATTTTTGTTATAAATAAAAAAACATATTTTCTAATTATAATAAAGAAATACTAATGATTCTATTGTTATATATATATATATATATATATTTCTCTTGATTAATTTTTGACTTAGCAACCACAAATTAAACTTTCACTCCTTTCAATTAAATCTTTTTCATGGCCAATGGCATGGGTTTCCACTAGTGAGTGTATGTATGTGTATATATATATATATATATATATATATTTCATCAAATTTATCTGTGCTATCCCCTCCTATGAATTTTTATTTACTGCAGTCCAACACATGCAAATAAAAAATGTTTAAAAATGAGTATTTTGTCAATGTGGTTAAAATTCACACACAGGTGTACAATTATGCATACATCTATATCTATATGCATACATGTACATGTGCAATTCTGGATAAATGATGCTAATTTAGTATTTGTGTCATTATAATGACTTGGAAATAATGACAACATTCGTAATTTATTTTACGAAAAAACTACCCCAGCGACGTTCAACGATCATCACCCACCTAACACATCCATCCACACATACATATATACATCCATTAATTTCATTCATTTGTTCATCTCTGAGCCCCCCCCGTCACTGACTCCGCTCCCAGAGGTGCGCAAGAACGTTCAATATGGTTCCCAAGGGGAGCACGCTAGTTCTGCGAAGGAGCTGGCGATGAGGGGGTCCGGCCCCGTGTCTCGTGCCGTCTATCGTGAAGAGCTGCTCCTGGCAATTGAGCTTTGAAGGATCGAATGAACGATTGATTTCCTGTTGCCGAATGATCGATTGATTCTCCCCCCCCCCCCAGTTATCGATTTTTGCTTCACACGGCCATCGCCATTGTCTAACTTTGCCTGCTATTGAGGAATTCTTCGTCACCTTGTGTGTCTGTTGATGTTCGCAGGGGTTGTGGGTTTCCGACTAGAATAGAAATTCATTATTGCTTGGAAATTAGGGTTGCAGGGTGTGTTTTTGGTTTTGTTTCAGATCTATGGGAGATGGGCCGTGTAGTTACACTTGTGATGAGGTGATCTAGCCCGGATTAGCTCTGTGTGTAGATTAAAGCAGAGTGCGGGAGCTTTCCTCGGAGTTTAGATTGAGGTGGTTGAGGTTTTTGGGGGGATCGTTAGATTGGAATTTTGGGAGTTTGGAGAGGTTGCTGGGGGTGTTGGATGCTCGAAGTGTGGAGTTTGGGAGCAGGTTTTGTAGATGAGCTGCTGGTTTAGTTGTGTACAGAGTGCGACTGGATCGAGCTTTTGGCTCTTTTAGGGTTTTGTGGAGATGGTAGTGGGCGTAAATAGGAGTGGGAACAGTTTGTTTACATTTAGAAACGTAATGTGGAGCGATGTTGCTGCATTTTTAACCCGCTCTCCGATCACAAGTGTGAGAGTGTGATAACACAAGGTGGAGCAGAATGGATTGGTGAGCGGTTTGGGGTAGCGGATGATTGTGTTTTGGAGTGAGAATGCTGATGTCTTGCAGTGCACGGGGCGATTGGAATTAGATTTCGTGATGTCAGTGAGAACAAAGGTGTAGCTCAATGTCGTTCTTGGAGTCGTTCCCCTTTCTTGGGCGAAGAGGGAAGGCTCTTACAGATGGTCAAGAATTAGATGCCGCAGGAGCACCAAGGTCTCCGAGGACAGCTTGCCTTTCTCCACCATCGCTGAAAGTCACTTTAGAGAAAAATGTTTACAGACCGGGTGATATGGTAGTTGCTACTATCAAAATAATCAACGAGTCTCCTGAAGGCAGACTCGGAACGGTGCGGGATCTCACGGCCGATGCTGTTTTGATAGAGAGTTTATCTGTGGATGTCAGAGGCATAGAGAAAGTCGACCCACAATGGCTTGTTACTCCAAAACCGCCCCCTGGGTCAAAGCAACGAAGAGGTCATTCCTCTATAATATCTCAAATTTGAGTTTCATCACTGGCTGTGCGTGGATGACATTTTTTTTTTTTTTTTTTTCGGAGGAGTCTTGCATGTTAGAATTCGGCGTTACAGATGTCACATTTTCAAATCGCACTTCTTTCCATTATTCCATCTAAAATATTTGACAATGATTTGCATATTAGAGCGTTTATCGAGGGTGTCATGTGAATGCGACTGCACCTACTTCGGCTGCGCGCTCTTTTCATGTTGATAAATCAATGGAATTAATCCTGATAGGAGTGTTGTGGTTACTCTTTGGTTGATTAAGTCCTTTGGATGGATGTCGTCCTTGGGATGAGGTTAAATTGAAGAATTGCCATCTTGAGTGGGTTTAGCACGGAAGTTTTTTCAGTGGTAGTTTTTCAAGCAAGATCGATGGAGACCACGACCTCCAATGTTGTATTGATCGTGTGTTGCTTTTCCTGTTGTGCAGGAGAACGGACAATGTTGAAGTCTTCATCAGCTGTTATTGTTTCAAACGCCCTTATCTTTCAAGGCTCAAGCAATTCTTGTGAGTGTCGTTCTGTTGAATAGTCCATTTCAAAGCATGGACTACCCAATTGGGTATTAACTTCTCGCCTTGGATGGCAAGAGAGGCAGTTTACAGGCAGTCCAGGTGGTATGTGGATGAAAGAACTTATGATCCCCAGCCACTGCATATTAATCACACTTGCATTTGGGAAGTTTGAATAGTTGAAAAGGAGTAAATGTTATCCAGTGAATGCGGTGTTTTGATGTCAAAGAGATGGTTCTCAAGGTGCACAAATTGAGCAGTACGGAACCTGTTGCCACTGAAGGTTACCAATTCTTTATTCGTAAGTATAATGTAATTGCGTTTTAAAGTGGTTGGAATTCGGCGTTCTTTCACGACAGATATGGTGCGCACGAGCCTACCTGAGTTATTGCCACCCACATTTCGAGGCACTGCAGTAAGGTATCTATATTACATTTCTACCGCGCTTCGCTGGTCACGTTGTGCTTCGGAAAATGGACATGGTCCTTCACCACCTGCGAACTCGGAGCGTCTGGTAAATCTTGCTGTCCTCTTATTATTGGTTCTAATCCACGTTAAATTCTTTTAATATCATGAGAACCAAAATCTATGATTGGCAATAGACGTAATATGTGTAAAATTTCAGAGTTTTGAGTCCTAGAGACTCAAGAGGTACTTGCTAGTGGTACACACATTTGGTAGAGGTAATTTATGCCCATGTTTCATCACGCGATAGGTTGTATTACACCTCATAAGACACCATCTGGTTAAAGATGTATGTAGTTGCGAATCTTTAACAACTTGGGTTTTTAATAACTCAAGCTCGTTTATGAAACTTAAACTTCGGGCAGTGTAGAACGACAATTGCGAGACCCAAGGGTTTTCTAGGTTGGTATTGTATATAATGACGAATTTCGGTAATGTATGCTACATCCTTTTTTATTACAAGGATATATATTTATGTCTATATATATCTTTCCTCTCTAATAATAGATTGCATTCCGAATAGTCTTTTCAAGCATGTTACACCTTTTGGAGAATTGCTTTTGTCTTCTTTTTACTGTTGCTGAGAGGTCCTTGATGCGTCACGGTAAACGATATATTCAGGTGGATGAAGCATCGTCTTGTGCTATCCAAGAAATGATCTAGTTCTTATAGTGAGCTTGATCCATCATTTGCACTTAAGTTGTGCAAGGCTTCAAGTCCCTGCGTCCAATGTTTTATGAACATGGTGATCACGTAACGTGTTCTGATTTGAATGACTTTGTGGTCAAGTTTATTACCTATTTCATGAAGATGTATGTTTTGTGTTACAGGAAGTGCGTACTGCTCTGCCGATTTGGACGCTACCTCACACCAATGGGCTGACGTCAGACGTGTCTCACTATGGCCACTCTGGTGTTTATCTCTATTACAATCTATTTTGATTATTATTGTTTTCATGATATACATCCTTTTGAGAGGAATTGATCTTCAGTTTGAAATCCTGAAAATGCATCTTGGATATAGCATCGCTACTTAGGACAGCTTTAACTCTACCTTTGTACTTTGTACAATTGTCACATAAATTCCTGTGTTGTAACTGTTTTTAGCCAGGATGACAGAGTATGTAATAATGAATGAGCACTCTGTCTGTTGGGTTAGTGAGTTGTCCAGGAAAGTATGTCTTTCCCTGACAAACATGATGTATTTCTTACAGGAATAGTGCCCCCGTATACCTTAGTGTTAGAGATTCAATGGAAAGAGGATAATAGCGAAAGCGTTTGGGTAAATTTCTGACCTGCACTTGACCACTCCTTTGAATCGTTTGAGAAACTCCATTGATAAGTTGTAGGATGATCGGTTTTTACATTTGACCGTATCCTTCATTTCTGGGAACCCTGCATAAGTAGACGTGTTCTAATTTTAACATGGTCACTCTTCAGGTCTTGTTACATTCTGCTTGCTAACAGATTGATTTCTTATTGTTGGTTGTGGTTTCCACTTCAGTGCTAAATAAAGAAAGTTATGTGCAGGCTTGGGCCGCTGATGCCAGTTTAAGGAATGGTGAAGACAGAACCAGCACTCCAAAGTCTGATGGTGGTTCTGCATTCACAAGCCCTACAAAGTCCATTTCCTTGGATCGGTTTGACCGTTCGTATTCGATTTCCTCTCGGGCTACCCCATTACATCTGGACCCGTCATTTTCTGCTCAATCTTTAAGTAGTAGAGACTCACTTTCCACATCTGCATCAGTGACCGATTTTTCTGCTACCCCTTCAAGTGAGCTCTCTATTACCTCATCTGTTGATATCTACCGTTCGATGACATGGGTCTATTGACCACAGTAGCATGATTTTATCTCTGAACCGTCTTTTGATGAGGACTATATCTTTCACATGCAGTATCAAAGCAAAATGGCGCCTTTGATTCTGGGTCAGCGCTTAAAAGAGCGTGTAGTCTCGACTGCTTGAGTAATGAAGCATTCATAGCAAGTATGAATGCTCATCATTTGAACGGAGTTGCCTCTAGACACAGCAATAGGGTGGAGGAGGAAGTTATCCCAGATTCTCCTAATTCATCGCCTGGTATGCCCGTAGCATTACTAGGAGTGCCCACTTTGAAATATTCTTGCGTTCTGAAACATGTTGGACCTGGATTTGAATTGGAATTAAGAACATGCGGCCTTGTACTTATGAGGATCAATGTATGATGGACCGGCCCTAAATTGATACTTCTTTCTTTTCCTTGGACAGCTGTCTATAACCGAGGGAAGTCTTACAATATCCGGATGGATGGCGAAGTGCTAGTCAAGTTTTCACCCAAGAACCCAACATCCACATATTATTTTGGTGACATGGTGCGTGCTTAATCATGACACTGCTCTGTTTTCCTATTTATAATTTAACTTTGGTCGTATCTAAAGCTCTTGTAGTTTTTGAATACATTACATGTGAGCTATTTGTGAAGGTGTCTTATGTCGTTTTTAACTGCCTCGTCCAGCAGTTTCCTCAGGAGGATTTTTCCTGAAGTTGGAGAGCATATCCTCATCTAGGCATGAGCTGCTGTCATCAGCGTGTAGTTATCAGGGTGTAGTTATCAGGGTTTGTATGCAGGGTTGGAATGATACAATCAGCCTTCTATCCTAGTGTTCTTGTGCACAATTGTGAAGTTCTTACGTTTTCATCATTTGAAATTGTTAGGTAACTGGAACTTTACAGTTTTTTCATAACGACAAGAGGAGATGCTTGGAGGTAATACAACATGCTGCTGATGCTATTCACCTCCATTGTTCTTTAATCACTGATATTTTATGCTCTCGTATCAATTATGAGCATTTAATGATTTCCTGCTTATGTTGTGTTATGCATTGCTAATACAGGTGACAGCTGTTTTAGAAACCAGGGAAGTATTGAATCCAGCTGTAGTACATCCTTCTCGCAAAAATTCTTCGACAATAACAAAGGTATTCAAATCCCATTTGTATGTCCATCACTCTCTGCTTGACACACAAGCAATAATGCATACACGTAAATTGAGAGGCTTTTTATGAACTCAATTTTGAATGAATTTAGCAGGAAATTTGTGATTTGCTTGTGAAAATATCACCTCTCTAATCTGTACCGTGATTTGGAAGGTTCACTCTGAGTACTATGAAATTGTGAATGACGTCATCAGTACACAGTTTCTATTCTCAATACCCCTCGACGGACCTGCCTCCATGGCTACCCCCTTGATGTCCCTGGATTGGATCCTCCGTTTTGAGTTTGTGGCCACCCCATTGAACGTGGATTGGAGTAAAGTTGAACACCCAATGTTGATAGATGTAAGCCAACGCCGAAAGGGTGAATGGAATCTACCGATTATTGTTCACGCTACTCCTCCAAAGAAACCTTTGCCTGAAGCTGAAAATTCTGCAAAGTCGTGGGCACGAAGTCCAAGTGCCATTTACAAGTCTCTTTGCGAAGAGTATCCAGAAAGAGGGTCTGACACGGCTTCTCCATCAGGAAGCATCGCAAGAGATTAATTCAAGAGCTAGCAGCTGTTCGTGGAGTGCAGTTTGGCCTTCCTTTAATAATATGCCCTTGTGCCTCTCGGTTGCTGCCTTGTGGTGTTCGCATTTGATAAGAAGGGGTCGTGATGTTGGTAGTACTCCCGACGCTGGTGTTCTCGATGGTAGCTCGCAATATTAGCCAGTTGAGCATGCTCAATATTTTGGTTCTATTATCATTGCCTGCATTCTGCTGTGTACTGTAACGTTATCATTTTGACTGATAGATTTGAAAGGAGGCGTGTTTTGTCCATGCACAGCTCACAACCCTCCGATTTGAGACAGTGAAATGATCTTTCTTATGTTCAGGTGATATTGTAGTTCACCTGACTGAGTGTAGAAATCATGGGCTTTTATGAGCCTTGGCAAGTCCGTTAAGGAGTTAGTGGTAGGTTCTCCCAATCTATCCATGTATTCTACTGCTCAATGAAGGGTGACCTTTTTCTCAACTCGTATAATTTTTTTAGTAAGAATGAGTAGTAAAATATTATTATCACAGACAAATTATCCCAGTTTTTTGCAATTTTTATGCATAGTATATTACTTCTGTATACTTCTTACAAATTTTCTTCAGGATTCGTACTCACAAGTATGATTTTCAGATTACCCGAACTACTGTTGGTAGATAATGAGTGATAACTACATAGTTTTAATAAAAAAATATAATGTCTTAGACGGGTTAATGAGGTTCTTATGTGATGAAATTAGTACCGATGTGTTCCTTGAAATGAAGTTTATGAAAGCGAGTTACACTAGTTAGAACATTTTGTGAAGTTCATTGTAACCTTTAAACGTCTATGAAAGCAAAATTCGTTTAGAAAATGTACTTTCAACTTAAAATAATCCCGTTTCTTAAAAAAGTAAAATTTGTCTTATCATATTTTTTAATCCTCAAATTTAAATATCCTGAATGCTGTATTACGAAAATACGTTGAATCGTAAATTTCTTGGTTTTTTTAACACTAGAAATGCAGATTGCAAGAATCTAAATTAAAACAAGTATCAAAGAATAGCATACTTGTATAAAACTAAAAGCATATAAATGCCAATCTGGTGAACTGTCAAGAATATGCAGGATCAGACTTTTAGCACAAGTACTTCATCTTCACATCATCTTCACATTTGTCAAAAAAATTAAATATACATATTTACGCACTAATTTGAAAATTTGGAAATAATGAAAATAGTGTCATGATTTGTTTGAATTATGGACAGAATCCATAAAAACTCCAACAAATCATTAAACAACTTATTTTTATGGATGTGATACACCCAAAACTTGCTGTGGATTTATATTTTTAAGGTGACTGAGCTTCATATTATGAAAGAAGTTTTAGTGGTGGTGCATCAAGCAGTGGCTCCAGAATCTGGTGCACTTCATCAACATTCACCATTGCCAAGCACATGGGACATACTTTCT